AGATACGGTATCACAAGACTGCCCCTTTTCGGACCACGGATATATAACTTTTGGCCTGGATTTGAATGGTGGCTTGGGAAAATTTCTGCAACAACATAGAAACTTTTTTGGGTCTAATCGATTACGCAAAACTCTCAACTCCGCATACAAAACTCTTAATTGTATCGGGGCTCAAAATAGGTAATGGGCCAACTTTAGCAAGGAAACTTTAGATACCCTTCTATACACTCACTTCCCATGAAGCGTGGCTTCCGATATTCATGCATGATTATAGGTCGGGTCACCCTTGCTGGTCAATCTCTGTCTTTGACTTACCCAGATTCAAAGCACTGTCAGATTGGATTACCTTTACATAGAGAGGGAGTCATTACCTTTTTCGACGTTGGTCAACTTCATCTATTGATCTTCTAGTCTATGTTACGGATTATTTAAGCATAATAGCAGTCTTAGGACATCAAAGTTCTAATTGTGGTTAATAGAAATTTACTTCTTAAGTAAAATAGTGCTAAACGATACAGATGCAAAGGTAACCAATAGACACCTTTGCGCGCAAAATGCTGTGTATTTACACAGCATATAGGTCTATGTTGGCATATACTAAGATTTATATTATAATATATAAAGAGGTTTACCTTAGGTTGTTGACTGCAAGACCCGTGATATTGCGATTCTAGACGATGCTAAAATTGCTTAATTTTGTTTCCTTTTAAATGAATTTTATTTGATTGTCAATAAAATTATAGTGATTCTTTTTTTGCATATAAGGGCTAAAAACTGTTTTGGAAAAATTGACTTGTTTACCATTTTATTATACCTGACAAAAAATGATAAAAGCAACTGAGAATTTTTACGTCCAACAACATGATTGATAAGAACTTGAACACCATGTAACGACAATGTTATTTTATTATAATCGTGCAGATAACATACATGACCGACAAACAGACAATTAAGCAGAAACGTTCCATACAGGCATTCGATCCTTTTTTGTTATAAAACGATTGTAACTAATATTTTTCCACTGCGGGAAGGCTGAAGAAACCCTATACCAACGCGGAAGATAAAAATGCGCACCAACTGTATCTGTTTTACATATTTAAGGGCGTTGGTGCACCAATTAGACGGGGGAAAAGGACATTAAGTTATTTGCACTTTGTTTGCGCTTCATGTATTAACATATCAAATAATCTTGTAGTCAGAGAAGCCTACTTAGCCTTGTAGAAGGGAATAGTAATGAATTCGTGCAAAGAACGAGAGCTCTAGTTATGAATAAGCCCATGACAATAATTATTAAGATTTATCTAGATGGAATCCTTGTTTCCAGTAGGGTCACTCACAAGAGTTTGACAATGCAAAGCACTGAATTCTGTCATTCCAACCTTCCATCAACCATGTCTTACTCTTATCTTATACTTAGTTTTATGTTAAAACACTTTTTAATTCTATCCCTCCTTTTTGCGGAAGGAGTTAAAGTTAAGTTCGAACAGCTATTTAACAACTAAGAGTCGCCAGAAGCAAGAAAAGCGAATCACAATAATCACTGAACAAAATAATATCGAATCGATCAGTGCTTTGTGAAACTTTCATCAGATGATCCAGCTGCCGTTACTCTTTCGGAATGAAGAAACTAAAACCTATTAAAGCCTCAGATCACTTTGAATCTTGCAGACTATGTAGGTAAATTTTTATTCTTGACTTAAGTCCAGCTCAGTAGCGAACTCCATATAAGGTGAACCTACGGTTTTAATCATCTTTATTAAGCGTCAATTAAACGTCAAAAATCCGCAAATTATTTTCATATTCAAAATCAATGGATAACTCAAAGATTTTGTAATATCAGTAAACTTTCGAACTTACTGCTATCCGTATCAAGGAAAAATTCTTTAACGTTGCTCTAATTTGCGCAAACGCACCGACATTGGAAAAGGACGACTAGACTAAAAATACATTCTTTCCGAGACTCGCAGCCAAAGTAATGAAACAGTGTAGTACCGCTACAAACACACGTTCTCGTACACAGAGAAAATTGGAGTTTTCGACGATCAACTTTCTAACCGATTGAGAACGCGACTTATAAAAGGACCCTGCAGGTAGCAGCTATGTGAGCCGTGAACGAACAATTTTAAGAAATGAGAAAGAAAGAAAGGTACTTCATCAGACGGAAAAAACGAATTCAAGAAGGGCGAAGCAAAGAAAATCGAGGTGTGTAGAAACAGAAATGATGCTCGCAAGATTTGCTGAAAAATCAACCATCTGACTCAAGGCTTTGAGTCTGAAGTATCAACCTGGAAGGACTAAAATGGTGATCTGCATATGGATTCATAGAGTGTACTAAAAATATGAATGAAAAATTTGAATGAAGCCGTCATAGAGTGTACTAAAACTATGAAAATACTGGAGCCGTCATAATTTAAAGGTAAACAAATGCAAAAGTTGCTATCCGTGGTATCAGAATACCGGTGACGTCGTAAACTACGGGGATACAAAGGTTTCAGCCTGTGATCACAAAACAGCGGTGGCGCGATAAGCTTCGGAGATACAAAGGCTTCAGCCTTCGGTATCAAAATACCGTTTGCGTTTTAAGCTAATGGTGTGATGGTTCTACCGTTGGCGTTATAATTTCCTAGGCAGACTTAGCGGTAGTGTAGGTGTCTGCCGAGTCGGTGTACTATTCTTACAACATATAAGAATAGTACATGAATATTTCTCTATGAAAAAGCTGTTCCAATCAAATAAAAATTATCTTTTTAATTGCTATATAAGAATGGAAGAAGCTTGAATTCACCACTTTATCACCACCAGAATCGAATTAACAGTCGACTGAGAGCTGAGTGGATGGAAACTGGCGATAATTTCTCAAAGTGGCCAAAGCGCAACAGACAGCTGGCAGGGTTATAGTATTCGTATTTTGGGATGTACATGAATTTTTGCTCATGGACTATTTTGAAAAAGGCCAGATCACCGTACACTGTATTGAAATGTATAAACTCAAGATAGTCCACTACCACAGCCTGTTTTCCGTGTGAGTTGAAAAATGCTTGTGAAAAGCTATTAGAACTCTCTAAACTCGAAAAAAAGGTCAAAAGATGCAGAACTGACAAATATTGTACCACATATTTGTGATAGCAGCGATAACTAGTGTGAGGAATATGAAGTAATCGCGAGAACAATTTTTTTACTTTGCTACACTGTGTATGTACAATGTCGGTGTCTTTGCGCAGCTATAAATCAGTCCAGCGACATTCAATCCTGCTAACTGTGCACCCGGCCATCGTGCAAGCTCTCAAGGCAAGCGTCAGCATGACCTGACATGCTTCAGGTTGGGAATCGTACAACAATGGTTTATGCAGCCCAATTTTACATCAACAGTTATATTGCTTTGTGATAATTAACTGTCTGATTTATCTCAACCACCATCATAGTCCAATAGCCATTTAAAGACTATAATAACTGTTTTGAACAATTACTGTTACTGTTGTTTTTATTTGGTTATTTATTTAAAATGTTCTATATAAATAATGTGCAATATATAATTTATCATTTAACATAATTTTGATATTATAAAACAAATTTTTTTAGGAAAATCTCTATCTAACTGGGTAAAAATCTTAAAAACTATTTGATCTTGGTTCACCGTCCTGAATTATTGATGGACAGGACACGATTATTCTAACAGAGCATTGATTGTGGTTGACTTGCACATACACGCGCTGACAGAAGTAAGGAGCAGATTTATATTCGTGCAGCATGCAATTGCCGATCGACTTAGTTAGAATTCGCGCTAAAGCTAGCTGTTTCATTACTTTTCTCCACAAGTATTTAGCTTCACAATTAAGCTACACTATACTACAACACTAATGCAATATTCGACAATTTGTTGAAAACTTCTCTTACATATTCCATTCAGTTGAACTATTTTTGCTTAAAAAAACTGGAAAATAACTGTTATATTTTGAATACATAAATAAACTTTATTTATCTATGTAACTTTTTTTTGAAAAGCAAAAAAGTCACAAGCAGGGCATATTAGTTTTTAATAGACTAAACAAAAACGATTTCTGTGCTGGGTTGTGTGGCTGTTGTTGTGGTTGTAAACTTACAAACAAAATGTTTGAAACGGTCATTGTAGGTAAAGATTTATTATCTTTTTATTTATTAAGTATTGTAATTACAAATCCGATCTTGTATTTTTATAAATTTTAACTATATATATTTATATAAATAAAATCGGTAAGTTTAAAGAAATTTATATAACATAATTGTAAAAATATCCGTGCGTAACTCATATCAATTCAACAATATATGCCAGATCTTTTATATATGTCTTGTGCACGCATTTAAGAGTGCCTTTAAACGATTTTTGAATTTTTGGCTGAGAATCTTCTAAATTGCAAACTAAATGACGTCAGTGTGCGGTATAACTAATTTGGTTTATTTAATTAATTAAAATAGGAGATTTACAATTATAAAAATAATACGATATAAGTACATCATATATTGGAATACAAAGAAAATTTATAGTTAAGTATAAAAAAATTATATTATATATACATATAAATAAATATATGTATATTAAAAAATATTTATATATAAATATATATTATATTCATATATCTGCAAAGAAGACCAATATTACAAGTAAGCTACAATTCTTTAACTTAAAATAATGATTTTTTTACCGTAAATAAAATGTTTCCAATAATAGCCACAAATTATTGCACGGCCTTAATGATCTTGAAGTGATACTTAATTTACTAAATTTGTGACGATTTTATTAACTTATTTAAATGGAAGTTATTTTATTTAAAAATATTATGTCGTTTCTATTGTTTTTATTAGGATTATAACTATTTTATCCGTTTCGATTTTTACAAAATGTTTGTCAAATGGTTTACATGAATAAAATTTTTCCAACTAACCATAAGGTTTTTACATTACATGAAAATGAAATTAAAATTAAAACTATGGTATAAATTAAAGTAGTGTAATGTTTTGTATTCCTGTTTAAAATATATCGACTTAAATGCCTATAGTGCTTAATGATTTTTTCAATTTTGAAAAAACTAGTTCATCTTATTATATTATACTGAACTATTATCTACGGTTTTTATACAAAAGGTATGTTTTCATTGACTGGGGGAGTTGCAACTGTTGAACGCGGTCTTCGAGGTTGACGCGTCCAATCGTTTGGCGTATTGTTCTCCTACATAAGTCCATTAAAGGCAAGGGTTCAGCTTTAAAATTTAAATAAAATATGTTAAATATATATTATTCGTAATTGCAATTTAGTTTTTAAACTTACGATCTAAACCTCCGATGTACCGCATTGTAATTTCACAGTGACCCCACACGGCAGAAACAACAGGGTATAATTTCTTTCCCTTTAACCCTCTAAATGCTATTCCAAGATACTGTTGATCAACTATAAAGCTTAAAGTTCCTTCGTCCATATCGAGTGCTACTAAAAATTTATCTGGGACTAAGAAAGCTTCATCATTTTTGAGTATTGCCGGGTAAGTTATTCCAGCACAGTTTTTAGAGTCATGGTACAATTTATTTCTTCCTAAATCCCACCCCCAGCTTTGATCTGAAGAACCGACCAAACTTTGATAGCCAACAGAATGTAAAGGTGCATCAGAAGTAGCTACACCAACCACAGCGTGAGTACCTCGTTGTCTAGTGGGCCAAAATATTTCCCATATATGCAGACCTTTAGTTAAACCAACTTTGCCACGTATACAATCTGTACTCTGCGCAACAGGATGTCTGTGGAATGTAAGTTTGTCATCCTCTTTTACAAATATATTTAATGATCGATCTTCCGAATTCCACGAATGTCTTAATTGTATTTCTTTACTTGCTGGGGGCATATCTAAAAGAATATCTATGCGAGCTGGTTTTATGAAATCTGCTGCTAATTCGCGTGGTATAATTGGTTTAAATGGAGTTTGAGAGTCATTCCGACTAACTGTTTTTACACCACCGCTTATTTTTTGACCCATGTTCATACCACGGCAGCTACGAGTTCTTCTTTGGTCAATAACAGCGACTTTATATGACAATCTAAGACGTTCGAAATCTCTAGGTTCTAAACGAGACAGAACGACACGAGGAGATAATGAAGACCCTGATGAAGTATTTTGTGGCCGCCTTCTTTCACTAGACCTTATCGCAGGCGTCCGACCACCCTTATACCTAAAAAATAGAAAAAAAAATTTTAATTAGAATTTAAATTTTAGTCAGGTTAAATTAGAATTATATTTTTCGTAAGCTCAATATAACACATTTTGCAACACATTAATAATTAAAGCATTATAAGTTATATGAATATGAAATCCTGAATAAATAAAAAAAATACAATTTATATACATTTTTCAAAAATTGTTAATATTTTATTTAACGGCATTTTTCCAGTTCAGTCCTTTATATATTCCAATACACAATTTTCATTTATAAATAAAAAGAACAGAAATAATTTTCCACAAAAACAAAGGCTAAATATAAAGAATTTGAAAAAAAAAAAAAAAAAAACAAAAAAAAAGGATAATGAGTTTCAATTTTCTTCAACTAAGCGAACCAGCCAGCTTGTCCGATAGACGGTAAAATATGTTATTTATAAGTTAGCAATTATTTTTTTTAATTTTTATTTTTGGAAGTCACAATATTCAATTTTAATTATTATTAAACAATAACTTCTGAATTATTAATAATTAATTGGAGAATTTCAATTTAAGATATATATATCATTAATTAAAAAATCCATGCTTTATTCCAATATCCTTTACAATTATACAATTTTCACACAAAATTAAAAAACTGCCGTTGCTTAATTTTATAACAAATATATTATTTCGTCCATGAATCACATAATTAATAATTATCTTAACATTTTCATGTAACTTTCATTTATTTCATTTGTTCACATAAATCCTTGAAATAACATTTTTTCACACCGTTCAACGGTTTTAATGGGTGGAAGAAAATTTTACACTCACATGTATAAATAAATTAAACAAATTTTTAATTAAATATCACTAGTATTCCACTAAAATCTCAAATTTTTAATTAGTCAGTTGAATTTAACTTATATAAATATTGCACATTAATTGTTTGAAATATTGAAAATGTCTTTTAAAACCGGATTTTATGTAAGCTTCATACAATTTACCTCTTTTTTTTTCCGAGTTCCATTTGTTCTTCGAAAACTTTTAAAATATAAAGCAATTTTCAGATTTAAAATATATCTTTAAATGTATATAAACAAAAACTATGAAAAATTATTAATGCAAGAGCAATACAACCAATGTTAGTTTTCTAAATTATTTTTTAATCAAGTCTTACATATTGCGTAGAAACAGACGCGGATTCGTCAACAAAACTATAACAAATTTGAGTGATAAAACCAAGCCAAGAAATTTATCGAATAATCGAAGTTCATATTAGTGTTGCCAGAATCACAAACACTAAATAATCGTATCTTGTGCTATGTGTGGTTACTTTATATGAATTTGATACGTAATATTGTGTTTACACTTTACAATTGTCAAACCTGAACGATTTCTTAACAATCAGAATTTAATGGGTAGACTAGTCATGAAATAAACAACAAAACAGAAAAAGAAAACAATAGTAAATATTACAAAACATAAACAAATTCTGAGAGTGCATTACTTTTATTTAACATATTTAACAGTTTTGTTTGTTTTAATTAGAAATTTAATCTTATATAATTATAATTGACATATTGGTATTGCACAAGATTATATTTTTCCATTGAAAACAACTAAAATAATATTTGTTCCGTTAAACTTTATATAAAATATATATTTTATTAATAAAATGTGACTAATTCCTACACTTTTATGGTGTTTAAAAATTTATATTAATTAAAACAAATAGTATTTTTTAGTTTGTAATTAATTTTTACACAAAGAAAAAGTATTTTTATAAATCTGTTTTAGCAATTAAAAAATATTTATCTGGAATTAAATATTTATTTCATTTTATGTTTTGAATTATTTTTTAAATTTCAAGAAAATTTAAATATAAATAAGGCATCTTAACTTTTTGTGCAAATTGAAATGTATTACATTAAATTTTTCAAGAGATTTTTTTTTGGCACTGCATTTATCACGTCAAATAATTTGTAGTTGCGTGCTTAAAGTACATATAAAATGTCAAAAATTTCAAAAAATGAATCTGTTCAACATAGGAAAATATAAATGTTCGCAAATTTCATGGAACCATTCATTAAATAAAGAAAAAATAAAGAAAAAATACATACAAAGTGACATTTTTGGTGTTAGAAGTTTTGAACAATAATAAATTTTCTTATTAGGAGTAATAAATAGTTTTTTTTAAAAGCTTTTAAACTTGTTGTTTTATAAAAGGTGTAGTAAAAATAATCCATTATTTTTGCATAAAACTGAAGGTTTATTTATCATAGAGTAATCAGATTTAGGTTAAATATGCGCCGTTTTGTTACACAACTTTTTGCCATTTTGAAGCTAATTTCATTATCCTTCCCTCATAAAAGTCCTCGTCCCTATTGGTAAAAAATTAAGACATTTGATTTTCGCAAGCCTTCTTTGAAGCGAATTTTTTGCAAGAAAAATCTTTTGCCATGAACAGGAACAAACGGTGACCAATACGTGTAAGGTCTGAACTATAAAGTGGATGCATAAAAACTTCTCAACCAAGCTCCCAGAGCTTTTAAAGACTCATTATCGATGTGTGTGGCCTACTCTTGTCCTGATGAAACACAATTCCTCACCTTTTGCCCAAAGCTGACCATTTATGGACCATTGCTCCCTTCAGACAGTACAAGTCGAATTGTGGATAGTACCGTTCCGAGGTAAGAGTTCCGAATTCCGCGTTAAAGCATTCTTTTGCGTTAGGAGAGCGATGAGGAAGGTCATCGTAAATGATTCTCTGCTAATCCCACCAAATACATAAGCAAATAGGTCCTGGCCGTCAATCCTGGCTTGTCCACCATTTCAGCCGGCTCACCGCTATTTGACCACGACCATTTTTCAGTGGTGATCACCAGTCACCAACCGCTTCAGAAATGGGTCGCTTTTGTCGCGATTCAGCAGCGATTCGCAGATGAGATTTGACATTCATGTCGCACTCATACATTAAGATTCTTTATGTATCCAGTGTCATTCAAATGATTCCAAACGGTATTTTATGCAATCTAAAGCTCTTGGGCAATCTTACAATGCTTACATGACAACAGCAGGTCGAATTTGACAATTCCCATAATTTTATTGACATTTTCGTCAATCGACCCCTCAGTGAGTGGTGCATCTTTGACATCGAAATTACCGGAACGGAATTGACGAAACCAAAATCAAACCAGCGCATTATTGGCTGTTACAGTATCAGGATCATAAACATTATTTATACTTTCAGCCGCCTGACTTGCGTTTTTGCATTTATTAAAGAAAAACTGTAAAATATGGCGTATTTGCTTTTAGTTGGTGTCCATTTTTGATGCGCGCTTAAACAAAACTAAATGAACCAATTACGAAATTTCATCTTTTTGACGCCATCTAGCGTAACCCAATCATAAGTATATAAATAATGGATTTCAATTTACGACATCTAGTGACCCTATTGATTTACTTATTAATTTACTATTTTCTTCAATTTAGTCACAGTTTAGGTCATGTTATGATTGCAGTCACGCCACAGCAATTGTTATTGCTTTCAATGCAAAATGAAATGAAAAAAATTTGACACTAACAGCTCATTTCTTTTTGAATTGAAAGCAACAAAAATTTCGTGACGTGAGGGCAATTGCTTTTCTCTTTGCTTTATAAAGAGAAAGCGTTCTTAATATTTTTGATACAGACTTAAATTTTTTTATTTTATGAAAATAAAGTCTTTGTACACAATTAAATTAAACACCAATAATATCAATAAAATATAAATATTCAACTGATTTACATTATTGTTTCATCTCACAAACAAAAATAGGAATTATAAAAGGGATAGTTTATCGACAACAAAAATTGTGATTTTGCAGTCCGTACATTTTGAGCAAAACGAGGAGATTATGATCGACATAATCCTCCATTTAAGCGCAGTATAGGCAAAAAATTCTTTAAAGATATAGGATATGTGAGGCCTTGACATCATCGAAACGCCCACTCAGTTGAAAATGTTGCTGTTGTTAGTGATAGTGTCGGAAAAAATTTCAGTTTGTCGGCACGCACAGCAATGTGTCTATTACACGACACAGACAGCAATGGGTCTATTTTATGGTATATTATAGGGTCTTTCGCATTTGGTATTGCATCTTTATCTTTATAAAATTCGAATAACACAATTATTGAAGCTGACTTACAACTCAACGCGTAGAATAATGATCGCATTTAAAGTAGTAAACATTCAGAAGTAACTGTCGAAAGATCTTTGCATTCACAAAACAGTGCTATATGGTGTGGCATTTGACCAGTAGCAGTGATGCGTCCGTACTTTTTTAAAAATCAGGAAGATGAGACACAAATTTCGTACTTCAATCACTTTAGCCACAAGCAATACATGGCGTTCTATTTTCGCTTTATTGCGCAAGTAATTTTTACGACGTTTAATTTTAGTTTTTAATGACGTTAATTGGCCCTTGACCATAAAGATCATGCGATTTGTCACCCACTGGACATTTTTTTTTGTGGGATCGTGTTTATACGTACAGTCTTGAAATTTTTAATGCTTTGAAAATGAACATTAGTTATGGTCAATCTGTTGCCAATTATGAGGCGACAAATCATTGAAACTTAACTTTAAAGTATCTAGTACTGTAAAACGTCTCATGGAGGACATTTGAATGATGTATTTTAAATCTAATGGCAATATCTAAACAATGCATTGAACTAAAAATTTTTTGAAATCTGTTATAAGTATGTTTCATTTACTTTTAGAGCAACAAAATTGATAAGTAGGTGTTTAAACCACGAGACCCGAGGGAATAGTTAGTAGGGTTAAGTCGACTAGGTAATTGTTTTAAAGCTACTCGCCAAAATAAACATCAAATGTTGTTTACTATTCTCAACAGCGACGGGCACGTTTATTCTAGAATCAGTTCATAGGATTTATCAAGAATATATTTAGTGATATTGAGTTATTACTCGGCTATTATTTGCGTTTTATTTAGCTTTACTTGCAAATAGAAATTGATATATTTTGACCAAAACTAATGAAATTGAAGGGCAGAACATGTAGAAAAGTTAAATTGTGAATTAATCAACCTTATCTGCATTTTTTATTAGCGGAGTTTGCTATATCTGTTTAATCCAGAGCAAAAGTTATGCAATAATGGATATACGTTTTAAACAAAACACCGCGTAATGAATTATAAAGTCGACAACGTGTTGTACATTATGTAGATTTATACCATTATATTTTTCTTGCTCTAAATTTTTCTTTATTAACTAAGTCAATAGGCAGATTTCGTATTTTTTATGGAGCACTTATTTTGATATTAAATTTTCATGATTAACAAATGTTATTTGAACTTAGATTTTTGCATGATTTGCCAAACAATTATAATTGTAAATATATGTTACTATTCATCCGATAAACAAAGCAACTGCTAGAAAAATAAATCCACATATTTTAATTCAGTAAATACATACATCAAACAATTTGTATAAAACTATATAAAAAAACATTTATTTGCTCTCCTTAAGCGTTAAGTGACCAGAAACAACACAAATATTGGTTTCCTTGATGACAATATGACTAGAAGCTATTATTCAACAAACGAATTTGGCCACTAAATATTAATTGTTACCTTAAATAATTTTTTTTATTTTTTCATAAGATGTGCCAATAATTTTGTTGAGCCTAATATAGTACTTTTTTTGGTTTTTTGATTTTAAGAAATCAAATATAAGAGATAATATAATGAAATAATATGAATTTGAGCATTTTATCTAAAAAAAATGTTTGTTAATTAAAAATCGCTTTGTTAACGGGATAAAAACAGTGTTAAAGCTTAATATGCTGTGTCAAAAATTATGTTCGTCACTGTATATTGAGATGAGATAGTGGATATGTTTAGATAATACTTAAATTCGTTTTTAAAACAGATTTCTAATCAAATTATAATGGCGTTTACGTTAAAAAATTTAAGTGCATTTCAAGTTACATTTATCTCACAATGGCCTTTAAAGCTTTAAACTAATAAGAATAAGTAAATAATAAAGTTCTCAATAGGCCCCCACCTAATAACTCCCAGGAAGAACGACATCTTCCCCGTATATTAATATTCTGATTCATTCAGACAGAATATATGCTATATGCTAATCAGTTATCATTCACGCATAAATGCGGTTGATATTGATTTAAAAACTTATTCTAAAAATCTTTGGAACCATTAATTTTTATAAAGTACCAATTTTATCGAACGGGCCGACGAGCCGACGATAATGTGCCGTTCAACATTTCCAAAAAAGATAACACAAACACAGGCCCCTACAACAACAACCAATCACCGTTTGAACACTCATATTATGTTAATGATATTGGCAAAACATTACATCATTATATAGCTTTTAGAGCATAACTATTATTTATACTAAAATTCTAGTGTTTGATTGCTAAATATAAGTGCTTATTTTGCGATTAACTTTTAAAACCAACCCTATGTAAATGAACTTAGATTAGTTAATTAGACAGTTCAAATTAAATAATTTAATATATTGGCATGTTCATATTTAAAAAAGATGTGATACATCGCAACATGGCCAATAATGATGGCAGAATCGCAATAAGAAATAGAATATAAGCAGATGTTTTTACAAATATTTAGACTTAATGAAATCAAGATTACTTTCTAAAGAAAGTAAGTTATGAATATACAATACAATAAAATAAGTCCTGTAGCTACTTGTCACTCAGAAACATGGACAATGACGAAGGCGGACGAAGAAGCTTTAAAAGTTTTCGAAAGAAAAATAGTTCACTAAATCTATGGCCCCATACAGATTGATGCAGAACTTTTTCAAGGAGAGAAACCGAGCAGCATATACAACGTAAAGCCGATGACAACCAGGCACCGAAGTAGAAGACAAGAACAAGATGGTATGAGAACGTGTATGATGATGCAAGAACAATTGAAGTACTGAACTGGAAAAGAGTAGCAGAAGCTTGGGACAGTTGGAGCCAGAACGTGAGGAAGGCCAAGATTCACACAGGACTGTGGTGCCAAATTAAAAGAAGAAGATGATATGCAACATAAATATTTTCCAAATATCGGAATTTAATGGAATTTTTAATGGAAATAATTAATATGTTTGAAAATAGCATTATAGAGAGGTTGACATTTCATATTAAATTATTACTCATTTGAATGACAAATACTATACATACATATATTGTTATGAACATTAATCCGTCTACATATTAATCTAAGAATATAAACAAACTATATAATCTAAAAAACAACAAATGTATAATATAAAAATGAGTAACAGGAATAATTTATTTCAAATAAACTCATAAAATTTGATATTCTAAAATGTACAGACATTGAATTAAAACTACTATAAACAAAAATTCATGCTTAGAAAAGCCAAGAAAAACTACATTAAATTTAAACAATGTTTGAATAGTGGAAGCCACAGAGTTTATAATATACTGTTTATATTTGTATATAAACTATCATTTAACATTCTACAGAATATTGTGCATGAATCAACAATTTCTGATAATAGTGCAGATGTTTTCATTCGCATTAACATAGTCTTAAAATTCCATATATGGTCATGTTATAAGTATAACGATTCTTAATGGAATTTGATGAATTGAATATTTCATTTTAAAAGCAATCTATATGTTCTTGCACTTTGATTCCCTTGACTAATATGACTTTTAATAAATTAAATTATTGTCCTTCTTAAGTGTATGATGACATCTTAATATTATTAGATGATTCTAATATATGTGATCATTTAAAGCTAAATTAACGATATGAAATAGCGTTCAACTCCTTTTGTGCTAAATCTGTAAAATTTAATTAATACTAGTATTCATACGTTATAAATAAAAGCAATTTACTTATTTATTTGTAATATGGAAGAAGCAATAAAACTCTGTAAAGTAGGGTCTATACTACTGCTTATTGACGCAACAGGGCTTAGAGACCCACTCTAAATCCAGAAGGGGGCACAATAGACCCAACGTTCGCAGTGCTACATCCCCTGACAATAACAATAATTTTTTATTTGTACTAATCCTTCTGCTGATCCTCCTACGCATCCGATTATGCATTGTTATTGAAAACGTTTAATTTTACTAATAATCAACCATTTTTATACAGATTTGCATGTGTATTTTATAACGCATGAATTATCAGAATGAAATACCCAATATTTTAGCAATCATACAATAAATTTGCATATTTAATGTTTAGTTGTGAAACTAGTTATTTTTTTTTATTGTTTGATTCCATGATATTAATGAAACTGTTTAATTTTTTCTTGTAAGTCAAATCCTTTCTCACTTTTACTTTTTTTATAGATGGTATCCGTGTTATGTGGAATTTTTTGAAAACACATGATAGCATAAGACATCCAGGGAATCTTATATTTAAACATTTTATATCATTAAAACATGTCTAATGACCTCCAATTTTTGTATTTTGTGTTAAACTTTCGTAAAATCCAACATTAAGTTATTCACGTATTAAACTATATAAGTTTTTAAAACAATCTAATTTATTTATTCATTATTCTTTATATTAAATTCGCTATTGCAAGTTTCAGTTTTTTCGGAAAAAAAACGATTGCTTTCAATAGAAATATTCTATGATATTTAATTTAACAATATTATATTATGGCGATCACTGCTGAGTTAATTATTATTTTATTTTTATATAATGTTTAACAATAAACATACTTTTTTCATCAATACTTACACTTGTTTCATTTAGAGCATCGTACATCTTCCAAACCGAATCTAAATTATAATAATTATTACAAATTGAACTCACAGCCTTTTTAAATTTACTTTAAATAATATATAAAGTTCATTTCTTTAAATATAAACACACTGAAGATTTCTCGTGCAATCGTCACCTAATATTATTATGTTTGCTTTATACATAAATGAATATACGTGCTTACATATGAATTCCAATAAATACAGAGTTGTCAAAATAAAAATAAAACCCAGTTTATTTCGGCAAACATGAGTTACAGGCATTAATACATTATGTTTTCAATGCATTCTGTTAAACAAATTTTTGTACATATTAAAGATGAAAAAAAAGACTTTTCTCTAAATTAATTGCTAAAAATTTTAATTTAAATTAGATTTATACACAAATAATTAAACCATTTTAAAATATTTAAAACATAAGTAATAATAATTTACAATAATATTAATACTAATGTAAGACATGGTTACTTTTTAGTGTACTTAATATGGAGACAATAACAATGAAAATATTTTGCATATTTGTTGTTACATTTTCATTTTGCTTATTTCATTTTGTTTCATAGTCAAAAACAAGCAATTGGTAAATAGTCGAACTCTGGTTTTAGTGCGACAAAATTCAAAAATCAGTCTACCATATTGTAAATGTTTACTTTAAATATGTTGCAAAATTCCCGTCATCCGTTAAAATCATACAAGCTTTTCCTTTATTAATAAATTTAAATATATAAATAAATAAATTAATTTAACTATACAACATAAAAATGCTTGCCATTTCTCTTCTAATACTCATTTTGTTTTCTTTTATTTGAATTAATTAATTTTTAGTGTACAATTTTTGTATATTCAATTATATACAACACAACAAAAAAACATGTTAAAAAGCATTTGAAATATTTTGTGATGCCAATTTATTTTAACCAGGTTTAATGCTGTTTTTTTACAACTCTGAAAGAAAAAATTACGGCTAATATAAAATGAATAATAATTTTAAAAAATATTATTTTTTCGCTTGTTTTTGCGTTTTATAAAAATTAAAGTTTTATTTTTGTATCACATAGTGAGAACACTTCTTAACATATTTGTACATATTGTATTGTATCAAAAAAATATAACTTGTACATTTCAGTTTATGTTTGCAATATATAAGCAGACCTACATAAATACTGTGGATTTCAGTAAAGAAGGACGGTTTCCTTCATAATGTCGCTCTACAATTGTGGTTACAATAACCACTTGCACAAAAATTACTTTTAGTCACCCATTACTACTTATCGAAAACATCCCCTTCCAAAAAGGGAAGAAAGAAACTTTCCCCATACATATACATTCCCTATTACAAATAGTAATATTTATTGTCTAAATGTTACAGCCCTTTCAATCTGACACACATTTATTATAATAAATAAAAGTATTGTAATTCATCAAAGTAGATAAATTTGATCTTTTTGTATAATTGTAATTTGTTGTTTGTATAGTTTGTTGTTTTGCTTACATTCTGCAAATTCAACATAATTTGTTTAAAAAATATAATCTTTCGTTAAGAAAATAAAAAATTAATAACAAGGGACAGAGATCATTTTTTTAATAAATACGGGGCATATACTTATTAAAGTCAACGTTTGAGCAGATAATCGGTCAGTAACTGATTATTGCACATGAAGTGGAACGGATTACAAACAACGTAAAAGAAGATTCCTCGTCAAGAATTACCATCGCATACCACAAGGGGATTGTGAAGTGGAATACCAAGACGATAACTATTTCTACTAGCGTAAGATGTCTACTAGCGTAAGCTATTACTCGTTCTACTTCCTCCTGCTGAGGGAGTTTTATGCCTTCTAGTGAAAAATATAAGTTTCGTTTTTGTAAGGTTATCTCTGGGACCGAATTCACTACACCATTCTGTCACAGTGAAGACTGAATGTTAATAACATTAGATAATATCCGCGAAAATTTACCCGATGCAGCAATAGCATTGTGATTTGCATAAGCTATAATACTGCATCCAAATTATTTCAATTGTTTGTAAGTGTGCTCACCGCTTTATTCCATAAAACCGCTTTGAGTGATTTAACACTTTCGATATCGGAGGTGATAATCTTGAATTTGAGTAGTAACTCAAACAATTTCACCAAACTTATGTCTAGATTTATATCTGGAAAGGCAATAAATGTCTATGTCTATTATGTCTATGCTACCACAAAAATTTCTCCAATATGCCCTTTTTGGCAATGAAGTATTTCTGCAAATTTTATAAAGGTCCGTGAAGATCTGTTGGATTTCATATAGGTTGTCTGATTATGCTACGAAATTTGTAGGGCTTGCAGGCTGCATTAGTAGCAGACGTGTGTGCAGCGGTTAGGAGATCGACCGCCTGATCGATGTCGGAAAAGTTACGAATAACAAGAGGAGCCAGCTCCGAACTGAACTCTAGCGTAAGTCGAATAATACACCAGTCAGTGCGTTTTCTGTCGATTGAATTCGATGACCTATTCTTCGTCAGATCAATACCAAATATTAGGCATCTATAGTCTGCAATGGAGTAGTGTTGTGATACGGACCACTTAGTTAATATGTGCAAAAAATGTTTCCTGATTAGAGTGATGTTTAATCTGTGATCTTTCTGAGATCACGAAGGTCGATTCACAACCTATATTATCAAATATCCAATTACTTGCAAGAATGAAATCAAAAACACAGAGTCATTGCTTTTTTGGCATCAATGCTGTTCAACATCTTATGTTGTGCATTGTTAGCCTCTGTTGTCAGAATCTTTATAGAATCCTGTTGTAGTGAGGCGGCGTCATTCTGCGCCATGTATGTCGAGTGAGTTCAGAGAGCCTTGCCGTCGTACTTGATGTCATTATCACTGAACCTATAGGGTGAAAGAATATTAATGTTATTTTTTCCTAGAATACAATATCTGCTTTGACCTTGACCTTCAGCGATAATGTCCGGTACCCACCTCGGTTCAATCCGGAAACCCAGTATTTAATAACCCAAGTTTCTTGAATCAGCAGGATCAGCTTTTCTTTTTCAGTCAGATTTTTATTCGGATCATCGACGGGCGCAGTACTGTTGTAGGAACTTGATTCAGAGGTTGCATCTGAGGGTTGATGCCAAACAATTTGGGCATTGCTTTTGTATACCTTAAAGCTGACCGGTCCGAAATTGTATTTGATCACTTGCGATATTAAAATAGACGTAAAAGAACACGTTAAGAACGACGAGAGCCTCACATTAATCGTCGATGGGTTGCGCACCAGGCCAGGCTACTTCGACCTTTTGGATTGCCATCCTGTGAAAACTGCAGAGCATTAATCTGACCAGGTGATCAGTTTAATGTTGCCCCTTTTGCTAGACTCCTCACGCCAGTTTAGTGAAGAGCTAAAGTGTTGGGCAATGACCACCGTTAGAAAGATGGTGCAGTCATTGTCAATAATGACCTCAGTCAAATTTTCATTTTAGGATTTGAAGCTATGTGGTCTAAGAATTTCCCGCTTGGGATACTTGACAGCTGCGGATGGCATGGTTTGTTTAACCGGCTAAGTCGACCTTCATCGTTCTTAAGCATAGGTAGAAGCGGTCGATTTAATATTAGTCGGTTAGAAGTTGATGCCCTGTATTCCTGTACATGAATGTTTAGGTTTGGTGATATTTTCTTGTGGAACGTGCGGACATTTTGATTTAACTAGTGTGCTAGCAGAGGAACAAGAGCTGACTTTGCCACTTGGCACGATTGCGGGACTCTAAGCGTCAGGGCGATCTAATTGGCTTCCACCCGGTATAAGAATGGAGTCCCCATTATTCAAAGACACCCATGGTCGGGTGATTATTGGTAGGGGTTTGATTGACCAAATCTAATTTGACCAGATTGGGTTGTGTTTTGTGTTCTTTATTGATTATTCTATATGGTTCTCCACTTAAGTATTTTATTAAACGGAAAGACAAATATAGGACGTAATGTATAGGACACAAGATCGTTCTCGGGGATTTTATCGAGATTGTCGGATCAGAAGAAATTTTTGGTTTAACTGTCGGAAAATTTAGCGTCAATGAATCAACCACCAACAACGGTCTGAGGTTAATTGATTTCGCTGCGGCGAGAAATATGGTAGTATCTAGCACCAGATTCCCACACAGCGATATTCATAAGCAACTTGGCTATCTCCCGATCAATCAACACTAAACCAGATTGATCACTTCGCTTCAAGTGTACTGGACATATGTTCATTTAGTGGTTTAAATATCGAGTCAGTCCATTACCTTGTCGCAGCTAAGGTACGCATACAGCTTAGTATTGTCAACAACGTACGCTCCAGTACGTACGCGATCGCGAGAGGCAGCCGAAGTCTTCACCGGTGAACTCTGTAGCCGATTAAACAACTGACCCTCCCGTCTCCATAATGTCAGTAGACAATAGAGATAAACCTCCCACTTCCTACTTAAAACTGCGGAAGATGTCCTTGGTTTCCAAAGTCCTCGCGACGAAACTATTGTACGACAAGAAGTGTCGTCAACTACTGCTGCGACGATGAGATAAAGAAGGTAAAGAGGCGCCTATTATAGTCTGCTGCTTCAGGCTATAAGACACAAGCCAGAACCTCTCCCCCAATTCCGTATCCACTATCTTGAAGAAGAGTTAGCTTTTCTCCACTTACTTCGGTCTATAATCCTGTCTTCCATGATACCAAGTACAGAGACTACTATTTACTAGACCCCCTCGCGTAAACACCACCCCCTCCTCCACTAACTGAATACATTTATCTTCGGCTTTGATAAATTTAGCTTGCTAAATACTATTTCCTTTCTACCTTTAATTACAGGAATGAGGTTGAATCCGCTAAACGCGGCTGCAATCTTCCACAATCATTCCTTAGAAATTGTTTTAGTGGATTTAAGTATCACACCGTGGGTTTTGAAGCTTTCCACCTACCGTAAAAAAAAAAGAAATACAATTTAATACAATATTTACTAACTTACAATAAAGTGTCCAAAAGCTATATGTTTCTGTTGCTATTTTAGTGTTCTTCAAGTAAAATGCATCAAAAATTATTTTAATTTTTTTTAAGGACCATGCTCTATATACATACAAATGACAAATGGACACTTTAAACTTCAATTTTAGTCTCCTTGTGAGCATGACCAAAAGGCATATTATGCAAAGAGTTATAT